TCTGCTCGATTTCCGTTAAGGGTCATTGATCAATATTAAAGTTCGAATTTTAATTTTAAACACTACAGTCACAGGGAAAAACAAAAGCCTCTTTTGTCCTTAATTCTGCTTATTAGAAAGCAGCCACTTGGCCACCCATAGGAATGGGAATTCAGGAATCTATAGTCTTGGAGTCATGCTTTTCCCTTGACAACCCAAACATCCATTAACACAGGCCTCCCAGTCTCAATGATTGGAGAGACTCGAAGCGAGGTTTACGTGATGTAATCGCTAAGTGATATTCTTTGAAACGTTCATGGCCATGAATTCCCTGTGTTTCAGGACGCTGTGTGCTGTTGTGATGTAACATTTATTTTAATGGCCCCAGAGATGCATTGAGTAATAGTGCAGCAAATCAACACCGTCTTCTTGCTTTGCCGGAAACTGTAAAAGGCAATTTGAACCACATTTGGTGTTTATAATTATTCTGTAACCCAACTTGCAGAATTGCACTGATTATTGGGTATGTAGATAACGTATAAATCTTAATAAGAGATTTTGGTTCTTTTTAGACGACCTACATACCCACGTGGGCACTAGAAGAAGAAAGAAGGAGGAGTATTTATCTGACTGTCTCTGATTTGATTCTCTCTAGATTATTAGGGGAAAGCAGCAGAGAAATTCATGACAGTAAATGACAAAGAGAGATATTCTACTATCTACTTCTCTCAGGGAAAAAAAGCTCACCGTGGAGACAGAGGCTCACTTTGCTCATTGGGACTCATTAGCATTTTACCCACGGCAGACTACACTTGGCCTTCTGAAACCTTACATCAGCTGAAGTCCATCCCAGGACAGCCTGTGTTAGGGAGCTGTCTTCAGAAATGATTAAATCTTTCAGTAGCTTCCCAGGCTGAAATAGCAGAGCAACCAGGTAAAAGCACCCTGGATCTCTGTCTTCACCCTGAAGGCAGTGAGTCCGTAGAATTGCCCAGTACAGCAGTTACCTTTGCACAAGCAGGAAATATATGTTCGTAGCATTAAGCCTCTGAGATTGGGGGAGTCGTTTATTATAGCTACATAACTGTATTAGCCTGCTCGGACTGCCAGAACAAAATATAGACTGAGTAGCTTAAGCAAGAGAAATTTATTTCCTTCTGGTTCTAGAGACCGGGAAGTCCGAGATCAAGGTGCTGGCTGATTCATTTCCTGGTAGATGGCCACCTTCTCTCTGGGTCCTCACATGGCAGAGAGAGACAGTGCAAGCTCCCTGGTGTCTCTTCTATAAGGGCGCGAATCCCATCACGAGGACCCCACCCTCATGAATTCGTTCAAGCCCAGCCATCCCCCAAGGGCCCCTTCTACAAATACCACGTGGGCTTCGACACGAATCTTGGGGGAACCACAATTCAGCTCCGAAGCAATAATCTAGCCTACGCTGAATAATTCAGTAATGGTTTGGGGATTTCTTAGCCTCTTCATACCCTCTCACTAGGGCACATGAAAATTTCAACATCAGCTTTACTGCTGCAAATGCGACTCTGTCTTCCTTCTCTGTGCTGGAAATGACCTCGCAGAACCACTAGCGTTATGCTCAGGGAAGCATGTCATTAACTATCTGCTAAGGTTTCTAATGCCCCTGATGTCCCACTCTCTGAATGTTTCTATCACACTTCCTCCTCTTAGCTTCTACTCTGAGTGGAGGAAAGCTGGTGTGTGCACGTCCAACCAGTTCTCACACTCTAGGTCTCCTTCTCTCTATAATTAATGAAGATGAACAAAATAGGCTTTCCACTGTCTCTTCCTGTCTAGCAAAATTTCCCCTATGTCACATTCTTCTCATTCACAAGGGGCCTTTGTTTTGCTCTCTTCCCCTGGGTCTCGGGGTAGGTGCAGGGAGAGAAACTGGCTTATTGATAAGGAAAGATACAAATGTGGTATCCATGCTTCCATCGTGTTCTTGTACATGGGATTATTTGACTCATGTAACATTTACTACTAAGTGGTGAGGTACATCAGGGAAGGGATTGGTCTATTTTCCTCACATCCCTAGACTAGTACATACCTTAGCACAGAAAAGGAGGGCTATACTCATCCTTCAGAATGGAAATGGGTCTACACTGGGCATGTGCTAGAACTCAGGCTGCCGTCTCTTGCTCTAACACATCCTTCAGACTTCTTGGCCAAAGCCGGGCACAAATACTACTCTTCCCATGACCTCTTCAACTAAAATGAATAACAGTTAGTGTGACAACACTCATCTTATTCTACCTGAAATTAATTGTTTCTATAACTATTTCCTTCACTAGTTGGGAAGGGCGGACCTCTGCATCATTAAGCTTTGTTTATCCCTCCCTCTCCTGACCACCCCCAATGGTGCCTAGCTCATTGGCTACAGTAGATGTTTGATACACATTTGTGGAATTAAAATGAATTCCCACTGTCCTTTTCTTATTTCTTAAAAATAGAAACTATAAAACTGCACACTGTTTCTACATGTTGTTTTTTCTTTTTGTGTGCCTATCAACAGCATCCTTGATCTGTTTGCCGACCTGACATGTGAAGATGCCTAGAATAGTTTTGGTACAGAAAGGGCTCAAAAAATATTGTGTTGATGAATGGATAATGAGGCACACAGGGGAGAAGAAATGTGTCTGGAGTCCCACAATGGCAACTGGAAGCTGCACTCTTATGTGTTGTCTAGCTCTGAATCCACGCCTTCTCCTCATTCAGCATTCTTTAGTTTAGCAAGCATTTACCTTAGCAAGCATTTATCTTAGCTGAACAGAGAATAATGATAATGAATACTGAGTCATGAGATGGCTTCTGTATAAACACCTGGCCTGGCCAGAGACTGAATCACACAACAAAGCCAGCCCTCTTGTAAAAACAAGTTCCAGTGACAAGACGTTTAGGCAAGAAAGTGGCACCTCCAAATGCATACACCACAGATGATATGTCCACAGCATTCCTTTTGTAAAAGAAGCCATCTTCTTCCTGCTAGTGTAAAGAATTCCTGAGAAGAGCGTTGGCTGAAAATCCATTCCACGACCTACTAACTAACCTTGGGGTGGCTGGATCCCTACTATTACTGTGGGAGTTCAGTCTTCAAACTCATGCCCGTGCTATCAAAAGAGCTTCTCCCCTGTCCCCATGAAAATGGTGACACCATTCTTCAAACCATCCTCCACGCTGACTCCAGAATTTTCCCTGAAAAACAAACAAGCAAAAAAGGACTTCATGTATCTGATTATAAAAGCAACTGTATCCATGGTTAAAAAAAAAAAATACGGGATTCCAGAACGGGGAGGAATCATCAGGGGGCCTCATCTGGTCTCTCAGTTCATGGTAGAAAATGTTCTCCACGACTATCTTTCTACTGGGGACTCTGCAATGAGAGGAAGCTCTCCGCTCCCAGAGGTAGCCAGCACTTTCCATCTTTGGGGGCATGTGGCTGCTCAAAGAATCGTCCTTGAGGAGCAAGTAAGATATCCAGAACATGCAAGCATGTGGACTATTTCAATCCCATAATCTGTTGTCACCCTCAGCAATTAACAAGATGACATCAAACATCACCACAGATCGGGAATTTCCAAACAATTAGTGGAAACTGTTTGCAAAAACTTCAGCTTAGAAATTCCTTTCCCTCGAGCAACCAGGCACTTATGAGATTTTCCCTCCTGCATGAGCATAGGGCACAATGTTTGGCACCTCTTTCAGATAGACATCCAAGAAGAGCCATGCCTCCTTATACATAAATATATGTGTAACAATAGAAATAGAAACTTCTAGAGCTATAGAAGTGTGGATTGTTGGCATGATGAAACATAAACCCCGACTTTGAGTAATTACGGACAGAAAGAGAACTTTCTGCCCTTGGTCCATTAAACCTGATACAACAGACTGGCACAGATCTGACAGATGTGGGAACAGAACAATAGGGTGCAGAGAAGAGAATCTCCACGCCAGACCGACACAGAGGCAAACCCCTTGGCAAAATCTGACCCAGATTTCACTGGCTGTAGCTCCTGTATTCAGCAAATGTTTACTGAGTGCCTACTATGTGCCAGGGACGGTTCTAGGGCCTGAGGATTCAGCAGTGAACAGGGTCGTGGAAGAGTCTCTGCTTTCAAGGCCACCCTTCTGGTGGAGGGAGACAGGAAACAAACAAAAACTACGTGAGAAGAAGATCAGATTATGACAAGTGGTATCAGCGAATCAAAATGGAGGGACACCTGGGTAACTCAGTCGGTGAAGCATCCAACTTCAGCTCAAGTCATGACCTCGAGGCCGGTGAGTTCGAGCCCCACATCCGGCTGTGTGCTGACAGCTCGGAGCCTGGAGCCTGCTTCGGATTCTGTGTCTCCCTCTCTCTCTGCTTCTCCCCCACTCATCTCTCTCTCTTTCTCAAGAATAAATAAACATTTTTTTTTTAAATGAAGGGACAGATATAAAAGGGGGTGGCTTGGTGGATATTTTGGTTTGGGTGATCAGGTAAAGCCTCTCTAAGGAGGTGACTTAGAGCTGAAATTTTATGCCCAAGAAGGAGTAAGCACCCTGGAGGTCAGGGGGAGGGGTCTTCCGATCAGAGGGCACAGTTAATGCAAAAGTCCTATCATGGGAAGGAGGGCCCGCAGGGTTTGGGGGAGGCAAGATCGGAGAGGCTGGGGACAGATGATGTGGTTGCAGGCCTAGACTAGGCGTCACTCTCCTCACGGTGACGGTCACTGCAGGATACTAAGCAGGAGAGTGACACAGTCTGGTTTATGCTTTGGAAAGATTATTCTGGCAGCCCTGTGGAGCACACACGTGGGAGAGGGATCGGGCAAGAGCGGAAGCGAGGAGGCCTGTCCAGGGCGGCCGCAGTCGTTGGGTGACAGGCTGGTGGCATGAACCGGGGTTCCAACAGTGAAGATGAAGACATATGTGAGCTCCAGATAGACACGTTTTGGAGAGAGAGGCCACAGAACTTTGGGACAGATTGAACGTGGAGAATTGGGGCCCGAGCAGCCGGGCGGAAGATGGCGATCTCTGGTGAGACACTGAAGACGGGTGAAGAGTGGGACGGTTGGCCTCAGCACACCTGTATATGCCCCCCTGTCCTGACCACTGCCACAGCCAGAGCCTGCATGATGACCTCTGTGTCTCCAGCTTCCCGGCCTCTACTTCTCCAGGGGGAAACCCCTGCCCCACCTGCTCCCCCACAGAAGCGTCTCTTCTCAGCCTTTCCGTTACTGAGCCTGACTCTCTAAGGAACTCAGGGCCGCCCTGCTGTTTCTTTCCAGAGCCTCTGAATTGGACTTTGCGCAGAGCAGGTGCACCCCTCCTGGAATACAGGGTGAGAACGGTTTCTGGGGAGCCCATGGGCACCCTCACACTTGCTGTTCCAGGCAAGCACACAAGAAGATAACTAAAATCACAAGGGATTCCCTTTCACACCTTTTTGCCTGCCCCTGACAACATACTTGCATTCAGTGATGCCGCAAGACAAGACGGATGAGGTGACATGTGCCCACCGTTAATCAGGTTACTGTTTACACTAACCCCAGTCAGAGTTCTGGACACTGTAGGCTCCATGTAACCTTTTTATATAGAAACTCCCAAATTTCCCATGAAGATATCTTTCCATGTATGCTATGCAAATTCCATGTATGCTATGCATGCTATGCTATGCATCTTTGCTATGCAAGGATTGCTTCCGATCTTTGGCCCAGTAGTTTCCCTTATAAAAAAATAACCATAGTAGTTAATGTTTATTGAGAGCTTATTATGGACGTGCCAGGCATTTTGCTAAGCACATTACATGGATTATCAATTCAATCCTTTCAACATGCCTGTGAGCAGACACTATTATTATCACCATTTTACAAATCATTGGACTGAGGCTCCAAAAAGTTAGGTTACTTTTTTGTTATTATTTTAGAGAGACAACACACGTGCGAGTCAAGGGAGAAGGGCAGAGGGAGAGAGAGAGAAAATGTTTTTCTCTTTTTTTAATGTTTATTGATTTTTGAGAGAGCACAAGTGGGGGAGGGACAGAAAGAGAAGGGGGGACAGAGGATCTGAAGCAGGCTCCGAGCTGACAGCAGAGAGCCCGATGTGGGGCTTGAACTCACAAACCATGACCTGAGCCGAAGTCAGATGCTCAACCGACGGAGCGACCCAGGTGTCCCATAGACAGAGAGAGCGTCTTAACCAGGCTTCACGCTCAGTGAGGAGCCCGAGGCAAGGCTTCATCCCATGACCCTGGGATCATGACCTGAGCCGAAATCAAGAGCTGGATGCTCAAAAAACCGAGCCTCCCAGGCACCCCTGAAAAGCTAGGTTACTTGCTCAAAGATCACATAGTAGTGGGTCATAGAGACTGGGCTTGAACCCTGTTCTGTCCTCAAAGCCACCCTGCTACAAAACACACACACACACACACACACACACACACACACACACAAACTAGCACACGCACACAAAATGACTGGCACACAAAGGTTATTACATGAAAAGACATTCACTGTGCGTTGTTTACAATAGTGAAAAATAAAAATAAAACATCTGATAATCTTGGAGGACTCTACATTGGGTAAAACTCGTCTGATAGTTTGCAGCTATTAAATTCATGAGTTTGAAGTAAATAAGTATTGTGGGGCCAGTCTCCTTATATAATACATGAAAAAAAGAAATTATATAACTATAGCGTTGGGTACCCACGCGTGTGCCTTGATGAAGGAAGAGCTTACACCAAAATCCCAACAGTGATTTATCTCCTGGGTGGTAGGATTTCGGGCTATTTTATTTTCTCTTTTCTTTTCTGTATTTTCCAGTTTATACAATGATCATCAACAAGAGTGCCAAGCGTGATAAAAGCATTATCTCATGTAATTCTAAACCTCGCATCCCCAGCTAACAGGTAACTTGCCACAGTGCACAGGTGGGAAGTGACAGAATTTTACACTAGATTGACTCCAAAGTACACAAAATGAACTGTCCTTACATACAGTCTCTGAACTGCTTTTGTGGCCAGAAAAATAAAGCCGCAAGAGAAAAGTGGCAGTAAAGAAGTTAACTACCAGGGCGCCTGGGTGGCGCAGTCGGTTAAGCATCCAACTCCGGCTCAGGTCGTGATCTCACAGTCCGTGAGTTCGAGCCCCGCGTCGGGCTCTATGCTGGCAGCTCAGAGCCTGGAGCCTGCTTCAGATTCTGCGTTTTCCTCTCTCTCTGCCTCTCCCCTGCTCACGCTCGGTCTCTCTCTGTCTCAAAAAATAAAATAAAATAAAAACACTAAAAAAAAACAACAACAAAAAAGAAGTTAACTAGCCACACAAAATGCATGCTTGGGACAATATGTGGGTCCACTGGGCTAGCGTCCAGAGGGGAAAGGAGACTTGGGCTGGCCTCGAAAGAACAGATTACTCTTTAATATCCCTTACAGAATTTAGTCCATGATAAACCTTAGATTGAATTTTGTTCAAGCTTTTGGCTACTGGGGTGAAGCGGGATGCTGAAGCGATCTGAGGCCCAGTATAAGAGCTGGGCTTTGACTGAAACTCACTCTGGCTGTTTGTTTGAGGCCATTTAGACTAGGACAGAATCACACGCCACAGCATCACTGCCAGAACTCCCCAAGGGTGTACTGTTTCAGCAAGCACGAAGAGCTCTCTGTAGACAGAAGCTTCATTTAAATTAAATAGCAGATGTAAACATAGCTCAGGAATCAGCTTAAGGGGCCTTGACAATGTGACTTTGGTGGATAAAAAGGTGGTCTTAGATGAGGCTGGAAAAGTACTGCCTATGTAGGGAGTCTCTGAGAAAGCTATAAAGAATATTTATCTGGGGGGCGCCTGGGGGGCTCAGTGGTTTGAGTGTCCGACTTCGGCTCAGGTCATGATCTCGCAGTCCATGGGTTCGAGCCCCGCGTCGGGCTCTGTGCTGACAGCTCGGAGCCTGGAGCCTGCTTTGGGTTCTGTGTCTGTGTGTGTGTCTCTCTCTGTGCCTCCCTGACTCGTGCTCTGTCTCTCTCTCTCTCTCTCAAAAATATCTAAACATTAAAAAAGAGTTTTATATATTCCTTCCCTCCTTCACGCAGGCCACGAACAGGTTACTGGCACTCAGTGGACAAGGATTCTGTGTCTCCTGGTACAAAATGAACGTCCACCTTTCCAGTTGCCTTTTATTATTTATCGTGTTTACAGGTGGCTTATTTGATTAAGACAAAGCCCATGCAAAAATACCCAGTCTAAAAAGACACCACTTTGCTTCTTTTTTCTTTTAATTTTTTTTTACATTTATTTATTTTTGAGAGACAGAGAGAGCACAAGTGGGGAGGGGCAGAGAGAGAAGGAGACACAGAATCCGAGGCAGGCTCCAGGCTCTGAGCTGTCAGCACAGAGCCGATGCAAGGCTCAAACTCACAAACCGCGAACGCGAAATCATGACCTGAGCCAAAGGCGGACGCCTAACCGACTGAACCACCCAGGCGCCCCGACACCACTTTGTCCTGAACCTAGTGCTTCTAAACAGTGGATGAGCTGGGATGGGCGTTCACTCCTCAAGGCCACTCCTCGGTCACTGTGAACTGATACCCGTGGGGTTTGCCCCTGCAGAAGGTGTGAAGCTAGGAGCCTGGGGTCTATTCCCTAATCACGCTCTTGGCTTTCATCACATACGACATCAGGTGTCATCGGCAGAACTGAGGGAGGTGACAAGGCCATCTGGGATTGTCCCGAGGGCAGTTATTTAGGCTCTCTTATGTCTTACCTCCCCTTTCCACGGCTTCTGGCTTTCTCCCTCTTTTTCTTCAACAGCTGTCTCCAGAGAAGTCTACTTACTTCTTTCTTGAAGTGCCAATTAAAATTTTGTGCAGTATGAAAGGGTTGTAGTAAAATAACGTTTAGGGATCATCATTACACATGCGTCGTTATCCGCCTCAGGAGTCGATCCCATTCACTGAGTATCTTATGCATGCTAACTCTTTGTCACAGCAAATGCTGTTATTACGTCCCTGGGATGCCATTATCACCGCTGTTTTACAGATGGGGAAACCAAGGCACAGAAAGATTAAACAACTGATCAGAGGCCACATAGCTAGTCAGTGATAGAGCTGGGAAGTGAACCCAGGTAGGCTGGTTGTAGAACTAACCTCCAGGCTACCCTGCCTCTTTTAGAGGTGACAGGGAGTTTGGTTGTGTCTCGCATTAATACCTGCCCCTAAAAATCAGAGCAATTTGTGAATTTCCTCGTTTCCTTGACAGCAATCCTCTGTGTGCTCTTCTGACTTATGCAAAAGCTGCAAGAACTTTGTTCTAGCAGTTGAGGGGAGAAGCCAAGTGAACGCGCTATCAGGTGTGAAACCCTTCTCTTCGTTAGCTGATCTGGCAGAGTGATGGATGGCACTTAGCGTAACTCCGACAGCGGCCTGACCAGGGAGCCACCGACAGGAAAGCTTCCCTCTCTAGTTCTGGATTGATTCTCAGGAAGGACAAAAGGTATCCTTAAGATCTATCCAACCCTTCTGCCTGATCCCCTTCCCCATGGAAGACTTGGCAGTCTGCACCTTCCATTCCAATCTGGCCCTCCCTTTATGAGAAGCAGGTCAGCCTTTCCAAGTGAGAAGTGAGTTTTCTCTGGGTGGTTCTCATTCTGCTCGGAATACTTCCGTCTGCTGCTTCACGACTGCCAGCTCCTCGCCACGTCCCCTTGCCATGTTCTCACCGGCTCAGAGGATCTTGCCCGCCAGGCAGCTCTGGCCCCTCGAGCCACCTGATCTCAGGATTCACAGCTGGGCACAATGGGGCAAAAGAGTCCTGGAAATAAGAATGGGCAAGGGGAGGGGGGCACCTGGGTGGCTGTCAGTTAAGCGCCCGACCTCGGCTCAAATCATGATCTCGCAGTTCGTGAGTTCGAGCCCACATTGGGCTCTGTGTTGGCAGCTCAGAGCCTGCTTCAGATTCTCTGTCTCCCTCTCCCTCTGCCCATCCCCACCCTCTCTCAAAATAAATAAGTAAACTTTAAAAAAAAAAATAATGGACATGTGAGAGGTGGATAAAACGGTAGCCCAAATTGATTCTACGTAATAGTCTAATTCTGCCCTCTTGTAACTTACCGACTTTGAATGGAGCTGTCATGAGAATCCCTCACTTGAAAGCATGATCATGCGGCCACTCTCTTGGAGTCCAACAACAGCACACCACAGCCAAGCGTCCAACTGAATGGGTTGGCGTAAGGCACTTTAATGCAAGATTGTTAAAAGGCAAAGCAACGAAAAGCCAGAAAACCAATATTACTGCCCTCCTTTGCTCCAGGCATTTCAATATACATTGTCTCCTCCAATCGTCATAATAATCAAAGGTGGTAGCTGCAATAGACAACATGTTACAGATGAGGGAAGTAACGATTATCAAATGTAAGTAGCTGGTCAGGGTTACACCCTTACTTGGTGACGGGCAAGCTGGAACCGGTGTTTTTGACCTTCACGATAGCAACGTCTTGAATTCAAAAGTCTTTGTTTGAGCAAGCACCAAAACTTGCAACAGGGTTTACTTAAAATGCTCTACAATCAGATGACATTTTTAGATGCAATTATTCTCCATGAAGAGTACATTAATCAAATATAATCATAATCGACTTGATTAGCCTTATCCTTCCCAGTTTCAGATAAGCTTTGGAAGAGTTCTCCTTGCCCATCAAACTGGCCTCCATGATTAAATGCGATGCCGCCAGACTGCTGTGGATCAGAGTCTACATTTGCTGGGCTCCTGATCTAGACGACCATCTATACTGTGTTTTGGGTTTTTTTTCTACTCTGTAGACTGGGATTCATGCCAGAGGCCTTTGAGGGTATTTCTAACTAGCTTTATTGGAAGACTACTACCTTGCCAAAGTCCCTCGTCTTCACAAATGTTCTTCCTGGTCTGGTCTCATGTGTATATCTTTGGCCAGTGCTGGATTTGTAATAATCTCCTAAGTGGTCTGTCTCCAATTTCTGAATTTTCATGCTATTAGTTGTATTCCAAAACACTCCTTCCCCCACCCCAAACCACAGGCTATACCTATGGAGAAGTTGAAGTTCCTTAGTATGTATTTAAAACTCTCGAAATTCTTGCTTTAACATAATTTTGTAGACATATTGCTTTCTACTCCCCTTCAAGATACCTATTCTAGCCAAACTGGCCTCTTGCTGCTCCCAGGATGTATTTTCTCATTTCCTCTTCTCTGCCTGTTGCCACATGTTGGGCCTGAAGTGACCTTGCCCCCTCTTGCTTGGCAATACCCTAGCCCAGCTCACATCTTGCCCCCTTCATGAGACTTTTCCAAGTCCACATTACTCCCTCCTTCATTTCTGCTTCCCTTGTATTTTAAATTTTTTTTTTTACTATTACAGCATATGATAGTTTCAGCCTTGACTTATAGTTGCTTATAAATAGGAGTCTGTCTCACCATTCTGTAACTTCTGTAAGGGAAGGACCATTTCTCATTCACAGTTGTATCCCCTGCAAAGCTAAGCACAGCACCTTGCTAGTCATAGGTACTCAGTAAGTGCTTGACAACTTAAATATATTCTAATAAAGTTAATTTCTGAGTATGTGACAAAGGTTATGAAATCATTAAAAGTGGATGTTTAAGAAGTAAGGGCTAAAATTGTTTTCAGATCCCGCAGTCCTACTGACAGAATGGTATGTTTGATCAGGTACTTTCTTTAATGTAACTCCTTCTGAAACACCAAATATCTCCATGCAGAGGAACTCACTGTAATCTGCCTCTTATTCTAGATATCACACTTTGCTGCCTACTTGATGAGTATTTCAGCAGCCTTTGGATAAAAGCAAAATAATTTGACCTAGCCTGAGGAAAAGCCATTATAATGCAGTGCTATGATCTTCTTGGCTTGCAAAAACTATAAGTTGTTCTTTCTTGGTAACAGGACTCTCTCTCTAAACCGTCAAGAAGATATAATTCATGTCACAAAATTGATTACTGGGAGCCCTCAATGCTCAGCCTTTCTTTCCTCCAAATTCTCTCCTTCCTATTTTCCACTTCTGATAAAAACTGACTTGTGTAAATGATGATATATATGTGTATATATATCATATCAGATATGATATATATCATATCACATACACATATTCATTATATATTGTTTTATAGGTATCAGCAGTGGAAGAAACTCCAAAGAATGGCAAACTTTCCAAGATAGTCATACATTTTCAGTCCAAGGTGATCTTAGAATGAATGTGCAAGTTCTAGGCAAATCATTTGTAAAGTTAACTTATGGTCTTTTTGGCTGAATTGTGTCCTTCAGCAGCATACTGCATACTTGTGTGACATAACCAGCGGAGAGCCCTGTTTGGTCTGGGCTTACAGATGAAGAGGCCCATGAGGACGTCGAAACGTGTTCTGAGAATCATAATGAAAATGACAAAGCTGTGGAAAATATGAAGACGAGGTCGCCCAAGTGGATCAAACAACAGTGAGAGGGCTCCCTCCTCTTGAGGCAGGGTTTTCAAAGTAATACCTCCATCTGCAACCAGCCTCCTTCCCCAACGCAGTGGTCAGGGAGGTCTTTTCTCCATCAGGCACTCACCCTGGACAGTCCCACCTGGCCTGGGTACTGACTTCTCTGTTGCAACTACGCATAGTGACTGTGTATAATGACTACACATAGGGACACATATAGTGACTATGCATAGCAACCACACATAGTAAGTACGCATAGTAACTCTACCCCTCCCTCTGGGGTCATGAATGTGACACTTGGGTGTGACTCCGTCTATATCTCAAGGATTCTTCATTTTCTGTATCACGGCCCCTGATTACAATCTGGTAAAAAGGGACTTACTCTACACTCGGAAAAATGTACATACACCCCTAAAGCTTTGCATGTGATTTGGGGGGTTCACAGTCCATGGATCCTAAGCTTCTAATCCCTTCACTGGACAATAAACTCTTTGAGGACATTGAGGCACTTTATTCATATTTGTATTACCAGTGAACCTAACATGTTAAGAAACACTTGGAAAATGCTTGACAAACTCATAAAAATAAGAAATTTGGACATTCTCTTGGAGAAGAAAGAGAGACCCTCTGCTCTATTAGTTACAAGGGTGTCTATTACATTAGCTCTTAACAGCTGTTGGTCTCTGGCACCATTGAGTCAAAAAGAAGAAATAGGATAATTCCTATTAATTAATAACTGGACATTTGAGCTGGCTGTAAGGGAGGCTTCTCCAGCAGGAAGGTTGGTGCTTTCATACTGAGGTGAGTTTAAAAGAAAGGTGAGCTTCTCTAGGTTGCTTTAGGGCAGTGTTCTTCTCTGCAGTGGGACAGAGCAGCATGAAGTCGTGGTGGGGGGGGGGGGGGGGGGGAGCCAAGCAGTGACGGACCAGCCTGGAGTTCCCCATGGCTGTTGCCTCCATCACACCTGGGGACTCTGCAAACCCCAGACCTCAAAATGGACTCTCTGTCCCCAAGGGCTTAGAGCCCTCATCTGAGACCAAACACCAGAACTGAACAGAAGCCCAGATCAGATGCACATAGGTGACCAAGGCGACCGTGGGGGCATGGGAAATAACCCACACAGAGTGGGCAGGAGGAGCTACATTTAGAGAGTCTGACGGCAAGACATGGAAGCCTGTCCCAGGCAACCAGAAAGCAAGACAACAGGAAGGAACAGCAAGAAGAGACATCTGCTCTCGTCACAACGGTAAATTTCCACTCTCCACCTGCCTCTCAGGCCGGGGCCCTATCCTCAGGGTTAGGAAAGAACGGAAGTCATCCCAAAGACCCGAGAGGTTTTGCCAACATCACTCCGGGGTTAAGGTTTCCCAGAAGCCATGGTTTAAAAATCAAGTGTGGGGGACGCCTGGGTGGCTCAGTCAGTTGAGCGTCCAACTTCAGCTCAGGTCATGATCTCGCGGCCTGTGAGTTCGAGCCCCGCGTCGGGCTCTGTGTTGACAGCTCAGAGCCTGGAGCCCGCTTTGGGTTCTGTGTCTCCCTCTCTCTCTGCCCCTCCCCTGCTCACGTTCTGTCTCTCTTTATTTAATAAATAAATATTAAAAATAAAAATTAAAAATCAAGTGGGGGATGTATCCAAAGAAGACTGTGGTCTGAATTTCCTTTCAATGGCTTTCTCTACTTCTCTCTTTCTCTCTTCACCATCCTAACACCGCTCAAGCACTTTTTTTGTTGTTACTTTTCCAGGTGTATGGTACATTGGGGATGGAAATATCCTGGTGCTTCTGCCAACTGCATGACCTGGGACAAGTCACTTCACATCTCTTAGCCACGTAATATCATCTGTGAAGTAAGGGCATCAGACTAAAATGTCTGTTGTGATGGTCTCTGAAGGGCTAACGCCTACCTCCCTCTCCTCTTCTAATCTCTCTTATCTCGACTTTTGCACCCTGGAGAGGACATCTGTCAGCGCTAGAGTGTTGTTTTTACAGCTGTTGCGGCATAATGTCAATAATAACAATAGCTGTGGCAGAGTATGCTTTCCAAAGATGATCAGCCCCACACGCCTCACGACAGCATGGCGTCGACAGTCCCCCCCCCTCGGGCGGTGACGTCTGTGTCCTTTCCCCTCAAACTTGGAGGGAGGGGCCCGGTGACTGCTTCGACCGGAAGCGCCGGTTCCTGGGCCAGTGTCTTCAGGAAATTGCTGCTTTCTATCCTTGTCTTTTGGGATGCTGACTCTTGAAAGCTGGCCACCATGCTGGGAGAAGCCCCGTAGCCACACGGAGAGGCCCCATAGAGGTGTTTGGACTAACAGCCTCTACTGAGCCCCCGGCCAACAGTCAGCATCGGCCACCAGAACTATGAGTGAAGAAGCCATCAGATGATTCCAGCCTCTAGCCGTAGAGTCCCCCTGTCAGAGTCTGCCCAGCTGAGCCTTCAGACACTGTGGAGCAGACGTAAGCTGTCCCTTGGATCCGTTTTCCAAGTTCATGACCCACAGAATCCAGGCACATAATAAAATGGTCGTTGCTTTATGTCATTAATTCAGCAACGAATAACCAGAACAGTAGCTAGCCGTTACTGAGTGCTTGTTGTATGCTCAACACTTATCCTAAAGGCTTCAAGTGTAATAGTGCGTTTGATGCTCACAGCAATCCTATGAGGTAAGTACTTATTCTCATCCTTTGCTGAAGGGAAACTGAGGCATCGGGAAATTCAGCAACCTGTCCGTATTTACGCATCTGAGAATCCAACAGGGGTAACCCAGCCCTCAGGCCCTGCACACTTAACCTTTATGTTGTCATGACACTCAAAAAGAGGATTTTTGAGGAGATACAAACATATTGCAGCCATGGTGTATATCTGGAGGCAATCGCAAGATCGAGTATCTGCTATCTCGAAGCTCAGCTAAGTAAAAAGGTAGGAAGAAGTGATTTATAGCATCTTTAAAATATTTAAATACCAAGGGACCCTACAAGAGGAGTGTTGTTACCTTTTTTCTTAGAAATATAGAAAGGAGAGCCAGAGAGGTTGTGCACAGTGTATGCATACGTGCGGCCAGCTGGGGAAAACTTGGGGTTTGAATCCAGGGCTATCAAAGTCCAAAGACTACAGTTATCCTGTTAAAGGGCCCACCTGCTCACAAGACCGCGTGAGCAATTAAGACTAGAAAGGTGAAGAAACAGAAGAAGAACATAGAGAATGCATTTTACCTTCTTATAAAAAAAGTCTCAGTTTGCCAGAATAAAAACATAGCAGCAGACCATAAGCTCCCTGAGGGATAGGATTATACTTCAATTTTTTTTTAAATTTTTTTTAATGTTTATTTACTTTTGATAGAGAAAGAGGCAGAGCACGAGCAGGGGAGGGGCAGAGAGAGAGAAAGGGAGACACAGAATCTGAGGCAAGCTCCAGGCTCTGAGCTGTCAGCACAGAGGCCCACGCGGGGCTTGAACCCACAAACCGCAAGATCATGTGCTGAGCCAAAGTCAGACGCTTAACCGACTGAGCCACCCAGGCACCCTTATACTTCACTTTTGATTCCCCACTACATCACACTATTGTGTGTGGTTCATGGCAGGTTCTTAATAAATGTTTGTTCAATGAGTGAATATGACTATTTTATCATTGTTACATTCTAATGTGGATTCTTATTATCCATATTTGTTATTTATTACTTACATGTATTAACATTCATGCATTCAATAATTTTTTTAGAATCAGCCACATCTCAATAGTTTACCCTGTAAGGAGATGGCTTTCAACACGAAACACAAGGTTCCTGCTCTCCTGAAACTGACAGTTGAGTTGGCAAACAAACAAACAAGTGTGTGTTTATTATATATGCAAATTATACACACACAATATGGTAGAGAGTGACATTTAAGTTAAGAGCTGAATGACTAGGAGGAACCTGTGTAAATTCTAGAAGGAAAAGCATTCCAGGCACTGGAAACAGCTCATGGAAAAGTGTGATGAAGGAATTTAGGAAAGCCAGGAGGCTTCTGGAATCGGGAACGAGCCCAGCATGACGGAGGAACAGCAGGAAAGCGAGTAGGCTGGAAAGAATCCAGTAGGCTGGAAAGAAGGGGGAGGGGGTGCTGTGAGGGGTCAGAAGGGTAGCAGGAGCTAGGTCACACGGGGGCTGGATTTTGGTCTAAGGACAGTGGGAAGCCAACGGGTGGTTTTAAGCTGGGAGTTGTGTGATCCTATCTACATTTTGTAAAGGTGACTAGGTACCGTGTGGGCAATGGATTGAAGGGCCAAAATGGATACACGGAGACCCGTTTAGAGACCCCTGCAGAAAGCCAGGTAAGAGATAATGGTGCTTTGAAAAAAAAATGTTTTAAAAAGAAAATAAAAATAATAACAAAATAACAAAATAAAATATTTTGATTTAAAAATAATAACAAATAATAAATAAAAATTTTAAAAATAAAAAGCTTTTGAAAAGGGGGGCACCTGGGTGGCTTAATCGGTTGAGTGACTCTTGGTGTCAGCTCAGGTCATGATCTCACAGTCTGTGAGTCCAAGCCCTGTGTCAGGCTCCACACTGGCAGCGGGAAGCCTGGTTGGGATTCTTTCTCTCTCTCTCCCTCTCTCTCTGCCCCTCCCCCACTTGCTCTCCCTGTCTCTCTCTCAAAGTAAATAAGCATTAAAAAAAAAAAAAAAAGATATAATGGTGCTTTGTACTGGTGTGATGGCAACAGTGATAAAGAGAAATCAACAGATATTAGGTACTTCTGAGAGGCAGAGTCCGTATAACCTGCTATTGTATTGGCTATGGGGGGGAGGAAAGAATGCAAGGAATCATGGGAGGCTTCCAGTTTTGGGGGAAGCACCTTGGAGATAATGATGCTCCTTCAGTGGGGTAGAGAAGATGGTGTTGGTGGGGAGCAAGTTGAAGGGAAAATGAGAGACACAGAGAAGTACCAAAGACGTTACCAGACCCTAAATGAATACTTAGTAAAATGGCTGTCATTGTAGATAAAATGGGATCACATGTCTGCTAGC